GTTCCATAACTTTCCTCTTAGTGACACTATCACAACTCACGAACCTCGTCAAGAGGATTGCAAATCGACGAAACGAACTCAAAGAGCACGACACGCTACGTATAATGCAAGCTCTGTTCACCACCCACTTTACGTACGGCACGCCGTACCTGAATTTGAAAACAGTTGAAATAGAAAAAAAAATGGCAGCATATCCACGGAGTGAATGATGGAGAGTGGGGCGAAGAATTTGTCCGTCCATTCATTCTTGCTTCCGTCCGTCCATGCGTCCGTTAGTGTGACCGTCCATGCGTCCATCAGCCCATCTGTGCGTGCGTCTGTTCGTGCGTCCGTCCCTGCGTTCGTCCATGCAGCCGCCCCTGCGTCCGTTCATGCGTCCATCCATGCATCTGTCTATGTGTCCGTTCGTCCATGTATTCAACACTCCAAGTACCACCATCTCGCATCTTTTTATCATATATTCCCAATATAGAAGCACCGCCATCCAGCAGACATTCCAAGGACTAAACGAGAGGTGGCACACGCACACTTTCTTACGGCTTGCGCTTCGTGCCCACTTCCCACCTTTAACCACCGCGAGTTCATTCATGGTATATACAAGTTCATTGTAATCATGGCACTGCGGCTCAACGCTCGCTAAACCTTTCTAAAGCTAAGGAGGTTACACTCAGCGAGTATAACGTAGTAACCCTTTCTTGTCAGATAGTGCTCAATGCACATGCCAATGGCTGCTAATGGTGATCGCAGCCTGCGCGTTAACTAAAAGCCGAATGCTCCTGTCTCTCATTCCCCATTAGCAGCCATTGACATGTACATTGAGCACTATTTTTTATTGTTCAACAACGCACAAAAGAAGTCTCTCACCGGCACCACCTTGGAGGTCAAAACCTTATACTTGATACAAACTACGAGGGACGAACGGGTGCCGCTATAAGGAGCTTTGCCCCTAAAACTTAATACCATGATAAGAAAGGCCACTAAAGTAGCCTGGGGACTTCCTCCAATGGCCTCTACCACACGCCCCCTAAAGATAGGCGTCCACAACACGTGGCAAGAGCTCGCCGAAGCGCATAAGAACATCCAGCTGGAGAGGCTCAAGCTGACGCCCACCGGGAGGTCGGTGCTGCGGTACTTCAACTACAGTGACACGTTCATCGCCGATGCAGACCGCAAAAAAAAAAGCGCATCCCGCTGTACGTTAGAGAGTCGCTGTCCATCGCACCTATTCCATGCAACGTGCATCCTACTTTCCACAAAAGTAGACGCAAGGCTAAAGCTGATGCTCATCAACAGAATTTCAAGCAAGACCCGGACGCCCGCTACACTGACGCGGCCAAGTATCCGCATGGAAACGCATACGCTGTCAGCGTTGTAGATTCTCAAAGCCGAGAATTAGCGTTGGCCACGGTCAACGCACTCAATTCAGACGCAGCAGAAGAATCGGCAAATGCTCTAGCAACCACCACATGTACACACACCACGGTGATCTTCAGCGACTCGCAAGCCGCCGGCAGGATCCTGATTGAGCTAAGGGCCATATCTCAGCCAATGCCATCAATATTTTGAAACGTCGAAGCACTCCACTCCCATACACTTGTATATTATGGGTGCCAGGACACGAAGGTCTGCAGGGAAATGAAGTGGCCCACGCTGCTGCTCGCGAGCACGTCAGCCGGGCTGCCTCCTGCCCACAGGACATTCGACCCGTCGTTGAAGACACGGAAGTTGTTCAAAACACCTACTCGTCGTTACCTGTATACCCTCCACTACACCCAAATCTGTCAAAAGAGGAAAGCGTAATACTGAGACGCCTGCAAAGCAGCACAAACACACATGGAGCCCTAATGCACCGTCTCTACTGAACGAGACATAGCTCTATGTGACCGCTCTGCAGCGTACGGGACAACCTGTCACATTTGCTTCTTGCAAGCCAGTGTATTGCCAGACGTAATCTGCTACAACACACGACTGATCATGAAGCAGGACTGACGAACGAAGAACTGACCAAAACGTGGGAGGCGAAGCTCACCCTCGAGGACCTTGAAGACCAACAAGAACTCGTCGCCAGGGCCAAGAGGGCAGTAGAAGCCAGAGGGTTCCTGGAATAAGGAGCCCTCCCACCTCAGGGTTACATCGGGCATTGCTCGGGGCACTGTTTCGAAAATCAACGCTTACTTCTCTCTCCCTCCTTTTTGTGAATAGGTGGTGTTGTTCGTATTCTTTTTAAGTATATTCACTTCAGCGCCAGTTTGCTCCATTTGTGTACGCAACTTTTTTATGGTAGTTGTTGCGAAATGACAGAAAGATACAATTCTGATTAGAAGAACTGAACCTTCTCTATAGTAAGCATTTCGTGATTTAAACTTAAGGTGCTGTGCATAGCTGTAACCGACCACTTTGGTGAAGGCTATGCGGTATTTGACAGTTCGTTTGATGTGCCACGCTTCAAAACCAATATTGGAAGCATAGCTTTTTTCTCTCAGGATGACTACAACAAAAAGAACTAAATGTGCACAGATTCGAAGCCCAAGATAACATTTTTAATGCGACTACAGAAAATGGCTGACAGTAAAATAAAAATATCATAATGACTGATAATAACAATGACAGAAACTCCCATAAGAAAACACTCTGCCTTATTTGCTTTTGCGGAATGTAATAATGAGTACTTTGCAATTACGCAGTGTAAATTTCAAACACTAGTAGGCAGCACATCATAATTGGCGCCTGAAGACTATATGCATATATATATTTTCTTGTATGCACTCCGATGTATGGCTTGAAATTTTTAACGCTTTCTATTTCACCAGGTTATTCACCGTTATATTTGTCTTAATCATATACACGATTTAATCGTTGATTGCCTGCTATATTTAACTCTTTTTGAGTCTAAAAGATGATGTGTCGTGAACCGTCCATGCGACGATTGACTCTGCAAAGTGCGAAGATTTTTGTGCCCTTACAACCCCCCCCCCCCCCCTTTCAAGTTTCGCCAATGATTCCTTGAACTGTCTCATCTCCTTCGGCAGAGCGTTGTGCAAGATAGGCTTTTTATAGACTCCTCCGGCACGTTTGGAGCCCGTGATAACATGTAATCACGGGCATCAGCATCTGGATGCTTATGATGTTTTAATGTCTACTTTAAATTTACTCGGTTCTTCTTATTCGTGCCTAATCCGACGACAGTTCAATATTGTAGAAAATTAGTAACTATTGTTAGCAGCCTGCTTGATGTACCAAACGTAAAGCCGTCTGTGAGTTCACCATTGTATGAGTGTATAGACATTTCCTTGCTGGACTCAGTTTAGTGTGCCGTGTTATCAGTTAAAAGGTTGCCTGAACTGAGAACACGGTACAGTCGCCTTTTTTTCTCAATGTGATGGCTTCCATTCATTTTGTTATGTTCACAGTGAGCATACGTCTATTTTTCGCTAATTATGAACTGCGTCGTCTCCTTAGCTGCAGGTTCATGAAATGGGGTATCTAGCCAGAAAGAACTGTCAGGATGACCGGCCACTTGATAAATGATTAGTTTATTGGGAACTCAAAACTTGTTCTCACAAGCAGAGTATATAATCGCCGAGTTAAAAAAAAATCACTGTAAGCAGACCCGGCGTTATTTTTCAGCTGTTACCGTAATAAAATCTCCACTGCGTGCCTTTGAAAAAAAATAACCCTAAAACTGATAGCAAATCTTTTCAAACTTTGGAAGTAAGTCATGCAGAAGAAGTGTTCCGAGCTCTTTTTGAAAATAAAAAGTGTCTTATAGTTGAAGTGTGAAACACTGAGCTCAATTGGTGACCTTCAAACAACGTGGGATCAGCCGCAGCCGTGTGCTTACCGGTGATATTCAGCCATTTTTGTCGCTAGTCTGCTCTCGACTTGATAATATATATCAGATCGAGAGAAATATCACCGAAATAAATTTCAGTAATTTGTTCCATCTATGCATACAGCGTCGAGCGTCCGGCGTTGGCTTTTCATCGCCGGAACATCACGCACGCGTGCTTCTGAGTAGTTTTTATTTTTGCGTGTGAATTCTTTCTCTCATAGGAACAGGAGGAAAAAAACACACACATCGGATTCATTAATACATTTTGTCTGCGTGTCGGTCGGTGTTCCATTCCCTAGCTACGCCACTGCAATGCTACGGTCCTTCCTTGCCAACGCAGGTGAGGCATTGACAGTGATGGTGGCATTTGCAAGCAATGTGGAAAATAAAGTTCATGTAGGATTTATTTCAGTATCAAACTCTCGGCATGAAAGTCTCTATAAAAGCACGTATAATAATAATAATAATAATAATAATAATAATAATAATAATAATAATAATAATAATAATAATAATAATAATAATAATAATAATAATAATAATAATAATAATAATAATATTATAAACTGCTATCACATTCTAGAACCACAACATAATTATGAGGCATGCCCTTCACTAATGCGCTCCGTAACTCTCAACCATCCGGGCTTCTTTCACGTGCACCGACATCATTCAGTGCCGGTTCCTCTAGTATTTCACCTCCATGAAAGAGGCGGCTGCTTCGGCTGGGATGGAACCCACGATCTTCCGGTCAGCATCAAAGTACGTGGCAGACGCGGTAGCCACCTATGCGGCGAACCTTATGTCTCTACGTTTTCTAAAAACAAAAGATTGGGCTGGTGGAACTTCTTTCACTCCCCGGCTTCCGTTTGCAATTTCAGTTCGCTACATCACTAAAGACGCCGTCGAATCTGTCCCTTCTGCTAATCTAAACATAAGCATTGCCTCCTACGTTCTTTAAGCTCGTTGTTCGGGAAATACCCATGCATCAGCTATAGCTATACCCCGCCTCTGTGATTTCAATCCGGAAAGTATGTTTCCTGGAGATTAGGGTTACCATTTGCTTGTACATGCATCCGGGCTAGTGAAGGTGCTCGACCGAACACCGGATGTCTAGGTCGAACATCCGGTGACCGATATAAGGAGTCCTCGCCTGGTGTCTATAGTTTACCAGCATACAGAGTGCGACGATGAAGAACTCGGCCATCCTGCTCACCGTGATGCTGCTGTCGCCTGGTAAGTTCTATTTCAAAGTCTCTGACAAAGACGTTGGCAGAGAAGAGCTAATCATTTAGAGCTAGCTTTAACATTTCCTTGTAAGTTTCAAATATTGGCTCGCATGATTACCAGAACATCTCGACTGGCCAGCTTTAAAAAAAAGTGTTGCGGGGTCGGCCAACTACGGAGCCCAAACCTGCCTTGCAGAAATGGGGGAGCCGCAAACGCATAATCACGTCAAATGATATGTGATGTTTATTTTCCACAATAATATTTAGCCAATAGGAGTTGTGGGTGGTTCTTTTTTTAGGTTTGTTTGCAACACATACCAAAAAAAACGCAGCTTTCTGAGTGGATCAACGTACTCAATGAATTGGTTAAGGTGATGGATCATTAACGTAATATTGGAATTAATGTGCTTATTTGCTATTAACAGGAGGTCCCAATACAATCTTTGACTTTGGAACCTCCTTTTGTATACTAGACACATGTAACATTCTTGTATAAGTATTAATGAAAAAATCTGAAAGTCATAAAAGTTCTCCGTAACATGTTCCCGAATCATGTGCTTGTTGCGTAATAAATTTCAATTCAATTCAAAAGCATACTCGCACGTCTTGGGCCACCTTGGTGGTAATGTAATTACAGCGGACGCATGTTGACCCGGAAATCTCGGATCATCCCGGCTGCAGTGTTGGAATTTTTGATGGAAACGAATGTGCTACAGGCAACATAAAGGACAATTGGGCTAAATAGTTGAGATACATGATATAACTGTGGTTTTGGCGCACGAAGAGACACAAATAAACACAAGACAGGCGCTCATTTGCAACTGAAAGATTTATTGGAAATAGGAGAGAATAATTGCACTGTAGGCCCGCGTGGTCAGATTCGGGTGCACGTTAAAACACCCCAGGTGGTCGAAATTCCCGGAGTCCTCCACTACGCCGTCTGTCATAATCCTATATGGTGGTTTTCGGACGTTAAGTCCCACATATCAGTCAACAATATAAATGCACAAAATGAAATAGGAATTTCCACATGTGAACAAAAATAAAAAGAACAATCGTGACAACACGAAGAACAGGCAGACAACCAAATCACAAATATTATTCCGAAACAATATAGAACGCCAAACTCCTTATTGCGTAGCAACATTGAAGGTTGACTAACGCACTGATCTGCCCTTTTTCTTATACGAAATGCTTCCGTCACCTGTTAGAAGCCCATGTATACTGATATTGAGGTGTGCTTTAAAGAAATGCAGGTGGTCGAAATTTCTGCGCACTTCCAACACGAAGGGCCTAATTATTACATTGTGGTTTAGGGTTACACGTTTGAAACATTTTTTTTAAATTGAGTAATGCGAACATTTCATCTCAAAAAAAGGTGCTTGGCCAAGTGATTAAGCCACTCGTTGGTGCTTGGGTCCAAATTTAGCTACACCAAGAGAAGTAATTTTTTTATTTATTAACACAATTGCGTGAACAAAAGTCTCTCAGAAAGTCCGGTGTCAACGTCGGCATCGTTGCTCGGGAGCGATTGATTTGATTGATTTATGGGGTTAAACTCGCAAAACCACCATATGATGATGAGAGACGCCGTAGTGGAGAGCTCCGGAAATTTAGATCACCTGGGGTTCTTTAACGTGTGCCGAAATTTGAGCACATGGGCCTACAACAATTTTGCCTCCATTGGAAATGCAGCCGCCGCAGCTGGGATTTGATCACGCAACCTGCGGCTCAGCAGCCGAGTACCTTAGCCACTATTATAGACCACCGCGGCGGGGCTGCTTTGGAGCGAATAGTTGGTGTCGTCCGTGAGCGAAAATTCGAGATAGACGCCATAGAATAATAAAATCTTCGGTGTGAGTGAGAATCGAAGCCCAATCTCCTGCGTTATACTTGTTAAATGTTGGGTCTGTTGAGCTATTGCCAAAGTCGTTTTGTCACCTCAGTTGATTACTTCCATGGTAGCAGAGTTTTTCTGATGATAGCTTCGCCTTGTCTGTGGCTCCCTTGACTTATCTCTGGAACTACAATACGACTAGAGTACGGTACAAAAATGCCTTTTTTTTGAAAATTCATGTTTTTTTGTGTACGTAGTTATAGGCAGAAGAAGAACAGTAGCACGGTCAAGAAGTTTCAAGCGAAACAACCCTCGAGCGTCACCGCAAGGCTCCTTCAGGGCGCCGCTATTCCGTAATAGGAAAGTTTCGGAGAGTTTCACCATCTAGGGAGTTCTCACGCAGTTGCCTAGAGAGCCCACGTGACCGCCTGTAAAGTGGTCATGTATAGGCTTCCTACAGCTGCCGATAGGAAGGCGCCATCGGTCGGAGGGTCTTTTCAGCATGCTTTCCAGCCATGGGCACCGCTGAGAAGGCTCGTCGCGAACGGCATTGTGATGAACAGTAGATCCGACAGCCAGAGATAAGTGAACAGGGTAACATAAGTGAAGGAATTCGCTCTTGTTGGTAAGACATTAGGTAATATTTAACGCAACGCAACACAAGGACGAGAGCGGAGGACACAACACGTGAGGAGAGGAAGAACGACTACGTCGATTGCTAAACTATACGTTAGAAAAACGGAACGCAGTAGGCAAACGACAACAACGCAAGGAAATTTTCATGGTGACAGACAGAGAAACCCTAGTGAAACGCCGTTTTTGAGCCGATCCCGAGGTGCGTGCATGCGCAAGAATGCCGAGTAAATAGAAACACAGCGACAGGATGCGCGTTGAACATCTCTTGCGTTCACTGAATGTGGAGCTACCCAGATTTTTTTTTGTAGCATCACGCTGCGTATATTGTAAAGACTAATTTCATTGTAATGCAAGTTGATGAATTTCTCGCAGTGTTGAAAGCGGAAGCTAAGGTGTTGCCAGGTGGGGGAGGACTTGTGCGACCAGGCGGAGGCCGTTTATGTGGCGTGAGTTGATTGTATTTACTGTACTTTGTAACGTTTAGGAAGTCTTCAAAGACGAAATACGTAATTACTTGTATAAACAGCAGCTTGGTCGCATTATCTTTGATTTATACGCTCAGATAACGCCATAAAACGGCACTGAATCTGTGTGTTTACTCATTGACTGGGCAGATATAATCAAAAAAGTATTCCGGAATACATGAATGAAGATGCACTTGCTGGAAGCCTAATATACAGCTATTGAGATACATTCGTCTTGTACATGAAGGGATGTTCCGGAGATACGGCGTTTGCCAAAAAAAAAAAAATGTCGTCGAAAGACGATAGCCTTGCGTCTGGAGAGAGCGAACAAAGCGTTTATTTGATGCTCTGCGCAAGAAAATATGCTGAATGGTATTCTGGAGGCGCTGCATTAGAGTGCCTCGAGCGTGCAGCGCAGACAAACAAGTGCATCAAGTCCCGTCACACGTGAGACATGAGCACTCTCTGGCAGTTATTCTGTAAAACGAAGTGCATGGCGTACGCGCTCGTCTCTCGGGTGATAAGGTGTAGGACGCAAGGCGACGGGTTGGTGCCACCACCGTGTAGTCTTAGCAAAGAGTTGGAAACACTTGCCTTTTCATGCAAACGTTGCATGATCAGCGCAGTGTGATGAACGCTATGGTCCTTAGAGTTACTTCTGTATGCCTTTTATGGTAAAAAAAATACACGTAGATAATATTGACGTGCTGTTATGGTGCCTCATATACACGCAATAGTTGCTTTTTAATTGACCATCACACACGTATGAACGCTGAATCTTGAGCAGCATTGCTGGGCGCTGCGGATGGGGTCGGCCTTTTGGGCTATCGTCTGGTGCCGTTTAGAATATTCGGTACCGTTAAGGGTGGACAAACAGACAAACGAACATACATACATACATACATACATACATACGTACATACATACGTACATACATACATACATACATACATACATACATACATACATACATACATACATACATACATACATACATACATACATACATACATACATACAGACAGACAGACAGACAGACAGACAGACAGACAGACAGACAGACAGACCATCATTTTTGCGTCGAAGGTTCCCAAGAAAAACTATCGTCTTTAAAACAAAAAAAATATTCTGGAAAGCATATTCGAGAATGCCAACGCTGGAATTCTTCATTTTGACGATGAAGTTGCTCCGCAATGATATTTATTAAGTGCAGCATATTTTTGTGAATAATGTTGCAGCGTATCAGAACTCTCACTTGAATGGTATCAACCGGATCACCAACGTGCACCATTGCACTAAGTTACTTACACGCAAAATGTGTTTTGAGGAGAAGGTAGCTGCGTTACTTGCTCCAACAGACTCTCATATAGTATAATTTTTTCTTAAAAATGTTGGTTTGAACCTAACACAAAGCTCGCTAAAGAGAAGAGTCTGTCTTCCGTAAGAGATGAGACCAATTTTGCGTTGTAATGAATAGACAACATATGCCGGGAAGCTCTGCAACCTTTCTCCTAAGGTGAGGTTGGTGCGAAAACAAACAAACAAACATAGATGCTGCCCTGGCCTTGAAGAACAGCGACTATAATCGGCAAGGGCCGAAAACACGCCCTCCTTAATAGCCGTCAACTGCGTCTGGTGGCTTTACCGCATGTGTGCCATTCTGTGCATCTGGGGAACTTTTTCCGCCATCCTCGTTTCGTCAACTGGTGGGCCGCCTTTAATTGGCTTACTAGAAGAAATGCTTCCTTCATTCAAACCACGTGAACTCATTTGCACGAGAAAAAAAAAAACATAACGAGATACCCATATCCTGCAAAGTATCACGGTTCGATCGATACATCGTGAAAGTATGTTAAAAAACATTGTTCAAATGCATCCCAATACAAAAATGCACATACAGAAAAATATTGCCTAAATGTTATGACGATACTCTTTTATCGCGATACCGCCCAGTTTCGGTGCTTACGTAGATGTCTTCAACAATTTCTTCCTTTTGTGAGTATATTTCCTATCACAAGGAAAATTGTGGTCTAAACAGGATACAGTGCTTCGATGCAGCTCTTATACGATGCTCAACAGATCTTTATTGCGGGGGAAGCATGGCCTCTAAACTGTCAAAAACTGACAAATGTACAAAAGGCGAATATCTGAAAGGTTGGCAACCAAAGCTTTCTTTCTAAGGGGTGTAAAATGTTCGACTAAAACGTTCAGTTTAATCAGAGCAGATGGTGTCTTGTCCCATGATGTAGCTTAGCTGTATATATCTGTCAGAACTTGCTTTGTATGGAGTAGCTGATGAAAATGCTCAAACAAACGAGTAGAATAACCGATTCCCTTTTCCACACATACGCTTCTCAGATGAACATACCACGCAGCAATATTTGAAGTGTACTAGTGCACTCATTCACCGGCATTACATGTTTGCAGGGGCAGAGGAATAAATAAGTAATCTCAGTATCGAACTTGTAAGTAGATGAGAACCATTTCGAGTTGTGAAGTAAGCACATTCAACATGAAATAAATAAATAAACATGTTTTTTGTCTTGCAGATTCCTTACAGTTGCACATAGCCTTCGAATTCTGGTTATAATACACTGTCAAAACCGCTTATAAAAATACTCAAGCGCCACACAGTATTTATTGCTAAAACCAATGATTGCTGTAAATGGGCTGCACAAAAAGCAATATTGGACGTGAAACTGCCGTGTGAAAACTATAAAATTGAATTGGATGTGCCAACAGACCTCAGTGATAAGAATAACAATGCTGCCGATTTTTCGGACATGATTGAAGATTTCGACAGATTCACGGGACCGCCACAAGCCTTATAGAACGAATATATGACATCTGATATTTCAGATGCTGAAAATCTTCCAAGTTTCAACTTTTTACTTTTCTAATCATGAACTCTTTACTCAAATTGCATGTCCAAAAGTGCATTAACAGAAGCCGCCGCAACCTCCGCGCCACAGCGCATTTTGAAAGTTAGCTTTGCCGCAATAACTAATGTTATGCAGTGAAGGTACCGCTAGTTGGAAGGGGCACTGGGACTAGTTCGGGTTATGGGGGGGGGGGGGGGGGGCGGTTCAGTACGTTGAATTTTTCTTTTTATCCTTCCTTTTTATAGAAGTGTTCAATTTCCTGTCGGCACGAACGCTGAACGACTACAAATTATTGTTGTAATCTAAAATGCGGTTCGCGAGCATTACTGTACGAGGGCTCTTCAACCATTTAAAACATGCAAAAGTTCACGGTGCAGAAGCTTCTTAATGTTATAACCAGATACTGTTAAAAGCGACATATTTATAAGTTGGTTGAACTGCATATTTAAAATGCCCATCAGTAACAACAGTGTGATGAAAACCCCTGTCTGTGCATAAACATGTGAAGAGTTGCAAAAAAGTTTCCTTCTCCGACTGAAAGTGACAGTTATCACAGAGCCTTGCCAAACCTTCGCCCTCTGTCAATAACAACAAAGCGCGTCAGAATAGTGATGTTGCTAGAATAGTTTTCACTTTGGCGTTCGCCTACTACATTTAGCTTTCAGAAAACATAATATTGGCGTGTTGATCAACCGGGCCACTCTGGTTTTCAGGTATATTCAAGGTCTCTCCCGCACTCGTGAAGTAAAATCACCATGTACACTGTGAGAAATGTGTCACTTTAACTATTGCTATAACTATCATTTGCACGACTATAAATGATTAGTTATAGCACAGCCCAATACTTGTTTCAATTTCAGACGCAAATCTGCCGCTTTGGACAACGCTGTGTTGACCTAGTTGTGTGCGTCAGAGCTCCCTGCCCAAGGATGTCTCAATGTGAGTGTACTAATAAGACTTAGAAAAAATTACGCACGCTGCTGGAGATTCTATAATTCCTGCAACCGTTAAAACAGGGCTGTAGATAGTCAATTTATGCCCGAAAAGTGCAATAAACGTTCAAAATATGTGAAACTGCCGAATTCTTGGTGAGGTTGGCATCGAATGACAGAGAGTTGGGTATTTAAAAAAGCAACAAAAAAATTCACTTCTGGTATGTGGTTGTGGTATCTCTGTTCACACCATTTGAATGGCACGGATGCGTTCGAAAGAGAAGGAAGGAAGCGACAAAAGGGAGAAGGCAGGGAGGTTAACCAGAGATATATCTGTTTGGCTACCCTACACTGGGGGATCAGGGAAGAGGACAAGAAAGATGAAAAAGAGGGAAAAAAAGAAAAAAAGCGGGAAAAAGAGAAACTAACAGTAATTTCACTGCGGCGTTTAGACATTTATCGCTAGTGAGAGGCGTTCCCGCAAACCCTACAAAAGCCATACAAAAATACCGCAGGTGATGGGGTAAGTGGCATGCACACAAGATTCCCTTTTATTGCTTATCTCACGCCTCTGAGAACATAACAAAAAACGTCAGAAACCTGTCTAAAGTATAGTTTGCTAGTAAACTGAGAAATAGAGGTATTGCTGCTGGAGTGTCGTAGAAGAGTCTAAAAAGACTGGAGAACCGTATATACTCTGAGTTGATCACCAGAACGAGACACGAACAGAAGATAACTATGAAAGTGTGTTTGTTTGAGTAGGAATAATAAGAATGCCCCGAAATTTGTCAAAGCTTACGAACTCTTTGGCAGTAAAGAACACTAAATAGGTTGCGTATGGCTGTATAGTTTTGTCCTTTAAGTATACTAAAATTTGAGCAATTGTGGTACACAAACTAAATATTGTAACAAATATACCACTTTTGAACAAGCCACTTCTCAGATCTCACTGTGTCAATATGTCGAAGCAAGCAATTTTAACCAGCACTTTATTTAAATATTAGACAAATTATGGTTAAATATGTTTTTGAATGGTTGTTTACGCAGCCATATTTGATTTATTTCAGGCGTATGACGCGACATCGACACCAAGAAAACCCTCCTTTATAATGATTCTATTCACACACAGGCTTTTGGTTTTTAGCCTAATAAAAAAACAAACAAACTCAGCCATTGTCTGATGTCCTCATGTAGGAGTGAAAAACCTTGTGATCTTGAATTTGTGCAATGTTTACCCTGTAGCTTTTTTTATTTTTGTTTATGAGTGCCGAATTGCACAGTCAAGTGTATTTTAAATGCGCCTTTTTTCAGAAAAACGGCATGCCCATAAAACTTGCATGATAATTCCTAGAAATAGATGTATTAATTTCTTGCTGAAAGACCAGGTTCCTAAATTCATCTTCCGGGAAAAAATATGTTTACTTGCCATGTAACATAAGAGGAACAATCCGATTCTTCTTTTTCTCAGCCATAACTAGTGCAGTTTTCCAGTCTCAGGTGCGGACTTCTGGGGAGAAATGTAGATATTATCTATGAATGTCCCACTGCAATCAGTAGGATAGTTCTTTAGGAAAGGTATGCAAAGTTTAAAGCTTTCAAAAAATGTTATGGACCATCTCCCCGAAGAGAAACCTAATGGAATGCGAACTAGCAGCGGTATGCATGCTATTGTACGGTTGAAACAGGCGTCCACGTGGGTGCTGGAAGAACTGTTTGAAGTGAAACTCGGTGTAGCGTTTACTCGAGTGAACGTTTATTTGAAACGCAAAGACACAGGAGGCAGGTTGGCTTTCCTGCAAGTTTCAACGCAGAAAGACTGTTCGCTCGATGTGCGCTCGAACTTTGGGAGTGGTGGAGAGGGTGAAGCAACAGAGATGACACACAGCGAGCGGCAACAGGGAAGGAAGAGAGTGACTTCAACGCACGCGCACTGCGAGGGAAAGTGGGACCTACTTTGCACCGCCCCAAAACCTGTGGCCCGGGAAACATGGTGTGGATAGAGGGACAGCATTATACAAGCTAGTCAGAGCTACTTCGCATCTAAAACTGATCCTGAGAAAAACGCACTTTTATGCTTGAAAACATGCGCGAAAAGTGCTCCTAACATCAACCATTGCCTGCAGTAAAAAAAGCATTACTAGATAGAAATCTTGCAATCAAAACCTATGCAAAGAGCAGCTATGAAATAGTTCAACAGATCTAGCTATATTTATTTCAAAAATGCAAAAACAATGATGGAAACAGTATGTCAACACACTCTATCTTGCGTCGGAAGGGGAATTCTGAACGTCATTCCTACGTGGCTTCGAGCACTCGTACAATCGTCAGAGCACATCCTTACTACTCGGTGCTTGCTCTATTTACTTGTAATAAAATTGTAACACTAAAGTACTTTAGGCTGAGGTCCACAAAGTATTCATTGTAGCATATCGTCCCAGAATCGACGTTGTAAATGTATGCTTGCAGGTGACAAAGAAAACAAAACTAGGAGAAAGAGTTTGAAGAATCAAACCTCCTACCCCTCTCTCCTCAAAGCGAGGCGACTCTGCCACAAAATGTACGTCCTTTGGCATACTAAAGGTGAGCTGTTTATCTGCAATACATATATTTGGTGACACGTTGCTCATCTGGAAGGCACTTGTTTTCGTAATCACCAGACAGATGACACTAAAAGCATGAAGGGCGTAGAGTTACCGTATATGCTACCTTTAGGTAGCATATGCAGTATTTTAAAGGTATCATGTACAGTAACTCTAGAAGGGCGCGCTTTAAAGGTCGTCACCCCAATCGTTGCTATGCGCGCGTGTGCTGAGCTGCACTTTGCCCTACAGACCTCGCCCGTGTGCGCCCGCTTATCTTGTGTTCGGAGCGCATTGGACGTCTCTGCGTTCATTGTTAGTTTACATTGAAGTTACAGAGTGCACAAGGGTCATTTTGCTCATTGTAGCGGTTGAGTTTGCCCTAAAGCCCTAAACGCATGCATGAAATTTTCTAGTGACCGTGATAAGTGACGGCGACATACTTGCTCCATGGCAGCGTCGTGTCGCGACGGCTGCAACCGCATGTCGGCGACAAAGCCTCATTGTCGCTTGAATCAAAACTATCGCATGCATACCCATAAATTCCAGATAGAAGTTTGAAAGTTGGTCGATGACAACATACCAAATTTGTCACTTACTGTCTTGTGTGTCATAGTGAAGCCATAAAAGCATTTCACGACCTGCTTTTTTCGCAATTTTTCGGCTTACCTGCGACAGGCTGTCCAGAAGCGTTCGCTACGATGGCTACGACGCACTTTGTATGACAATTTCGCATGACAATTTGGTCGCAGCAAGCTACCGAATTGCCACAGGCCACCGTCGAGACATCAAAACAAACCTCCGATAACAAGATTTACGAAAGAATACGGCCACTGTCTCACTCTCCACGTTAGTTGAGAATGTAATAAAAGGTAGTCTCTACCTTGCATTCCTTGAAGTACGCGCGGATAAGAAGCATCGAGAGCAAATTGCAACCGAAGCGAGAACCATGAGCGCAGCCATGTTGCCTGAAATCGCCACTCTGGCTGCTGGGCGACCAGCGATCTTCTCTTGTGTTCCAGACACGCGTGACGCGACAAGCGGCGGCGACGACGGATGGTTCTCCGCGATTGCAAATCTTGTCGCTCGTCGCTGCCGCTTTTCGCTGTCACGAGGTAAAGGCGAGCATGCGGTTAGATTTTAAAGAAGCATTGTTCAAACACAAAACAGTCACAACGGTGACAGTTGTTAGTTCACGCTCGTCCTGTGTGTCCTTTTCGTGCACCTTCTGTTCCTGAGTAGCACGTTCCGCGGTTCGGGCAGCTTGTCTTTATTCCCGTGACATTCCAATCCGATGGCATCGCACTCGAGATGAAAGATTTCACAATAAACGCCCAGCTAGCTTTGTGAAGACATGGTTCAACTTATACCGATTCTATGAAAGAGGAATCACCAGTATGTTCTTGAGTAAGTAGTGAGCAAGTAATGGGGCAAACCAAACGCTTTTGATACAGCCGCAACTGTTCTAAGTCATTTGCTACCTACGTGCTGGCTTTTCCGTTCTGACAGGGACAGAAACTTAGACCAGTCAGGATGCTTAGGTCTTCAGCATGCACGAAAAAAATTCACACTGCTGGGATGGATGCACAACGAAAAGGAAGAAAAAAAAAAACGACCACTGAAGGGAAAAATAATAAGCGACGAATGTAATGACCTGATGCCGTCTTACCGAAAATTCTGAATTTTGACTAAATGTTAATTACTTGAACAATACACAGGAATGACATGTTTCCTATTGTTTCAAAGCCAGCACTGTTGCAGCAATATTTGCATTAACAAAAAATTAGAGCACGTGTGCACCGCACTAGACATCATGCGCTTAAAATTGCCTTAAAACCATACACTTCGTGTTTTCTCACTTACTCAACCAGCAAAGGAAGCCTGGAAAATACCCATTTAACTAGCGTACCACACACCTTCGCAAACGTCCAAACCAGCCAAGGCGGAAAAACCTGCGCTACATGCGCAATCTGGTCAATGCACTCGTCATCGCACTTAGATGCTTGTTTCTACACATAGAGAGATGCAAATGAAAAAAAAAATCTTGGCCCAAGAAGAAGGACAGAAAGGGAGAAAAGCCTACATGAAAAGTTCAGCAACGCCCGGGAAGTGGTCTTTGTAGATGCAACAGAATACGAGAATGGCCGAAACGTGGTAATTGCAGCTACGAATACTCAAATGGATTCCAAATTCAGTGGAAGTGTACGTACAGATAAGGCAGAAGTGGGGGAGGAGGTGGCTATAGAAGTAGCACTAGCCCACCCAAAAGCCGAAGTCGTGATCAGCGATTTCAAAACCGTGGTTAAAAATTATGCCAAGGGAAGGATCTCACTGGAAGCGCTAAGAATTCTGGCCAACTTTTGCCACGAGCGGGTAGTTCATAATATATGGGCACCTGCTCACTCCTCCCTCCACGGGAACGGAATCGTGCATGACCTGGCTCAAAAACTGGCCGGCCGAACAGGTGGAGCACAAACTCCGGGAACAGAGAGAGACCGCATGATTAGTTATGAAGAGATCACGAAACACTACAGGCTAGGAAGGGTCCTATTCCCCCCGGTACATACCTCAATCAACAAGCAGCAGGCGACGGCATGGCGCCTCTTACAAACCAACACTTTCCCGAAACCGGTAACTTTTCACTACATCTACCCATATATATACTCAGATTTGTGTAAGTTCTGTAATCACAGGGTGGATTTCAATCATATAGTGTGGCCTTGCCCCTCGGTGACAAGGCAATATAAAAAAAATACAGCGATGGAGAGCAATGGGAGACCGCACTGCTAAGCGCACACCCAGAAGTGCAACTCGACGTCCTTCGGCAAGCCGAGGATGCCACCAGAGCGCAAAGACTCATGGCTGCCACCTATGGGAAGGAGACAATTCTTCCACATCTTGCCGTTTATTTGTTTTTCTTCAATAAAATTTTTCCTCCTTGGCCCGAGAAGAGCCGATCAAGCACGTACCTCACTTTCATACGCAAGGTCAAAAGAAGGTATGTTTTTATAAACGTGCTTGTTGGTACAGAGTCGGGAAGGATGCTAGAGGTATGCCGGAATGTTTTTTTTTTATCCCCATGCCTGCCGTGGTGGCCGTTATAAATACGCCTTCACCGAGTAGAGACAACGACAGAAGCGTCTGTGTACTCTTGGATCACCACTCGTCTGCGAGCACCGATCACGCAATGATGAAGAAAGTGGCTCTCGTATTGGTCGTCGTTCTTCTCTGCACCGAAGGTGAGCTCCGAGGTGTCGACGTCTGTGGCGGCTGCCACTCGGGTAGCGTTGTTACGTGTTTAGTTAGGTGCAGTCAGTCTGAAAAAGCAGTACTTCGCGCAAAAAAGCGTGCTTTTAATATCATTATATATTACCAAAGATAATAACACGTAAAAAGAAGAGCAAAAACGTATTTTTATAATGGTTCATTGAAGAATATTAAAATAATCGGCCTTCAAAACCAGCCGCAAGAAATTTATTGTCATGAGGGTCTATATTTTTTAAAGTTTTAGCGGCTTCTTGTGGCTCGGTTGGCGCAGTTGACCGTATGGGTCATGATTATATCAGTTCGAACCCTAGTCATCCATGTTTTTCGTAGTACCTGCTTGTGAAAACAGTACGCCTAATTATCTGGTCGACATTAAGGAAACCTAGTTAAGGCAGGACAGAAAAATATCTCAGTGAAACGGAAATTCTTAGCCCCGATGTGACGGTACCTTGCTCGCATCTCGCGGTGCGAGTGGCATGCACACAGAGCAACAGACTTGCGTTTGAAAATGAGGCAACGTTCAAAACATTTACATGTCAATTCTGTTATTGCCGAAATTGAAGCTGCTTAGTGAAACTCAAGACAATCAAAAAAGTTGTGTTTATAGTGCCTATCAAAAGGTTATAAGTGTGTGACATAATGGAGACACAGCGAAACTAAGTAAATATGAGAAAGAGAGACCGTCCACAAAGCTCACGTGTGATTCTAATATTTTTAGGAAGATGCTCCTATTTTTCTGGCAAGGTATGCTTGCGTCTTATACAAGCATGTTATGAAGGTTTCTTGGGTAGTTAAAGCAAATATTCACTCTCACCCTACTGAGCAGCTGTACCACGTTTGAGATCATCGTCAAACTTTTTTCGCAGTGATGCTGACAGAGGCGCAAATTCGTCCTCCCGGAAAGGGCACCAACCCAGCCAATCGCCGCAAACCGAAACCCGTGAAATGTGGCGTAAGTACAGTCCTACAACAAAGGCTTTGGCCGAAATTACTCAGCCCTATGGTGGCTTAAATTACTCAGCCGTCCACAGCAAAGGCGTTCAATAACAAGATCGAGGAAAATCTTCGGTATTACTTTCGACCCTGATGCGACCTCCGCTTGCAAATGTGAACAGACATGTATCGTGCCGAGGAACGGTGGTGTAAGGTGATCACCAAGTTGACCCGACCATCAAGATGACAAAATACTCAAATTGCTTGAGATAGTGAAAGCGGACGCCAAAAACTATTCTCGTCCAAATAGTAAGCGGGAAATATCTTCGTCATATGCAATGAATGAGCTCAAACAATCCCAGTGCTTCACTCAGACGAGGACCACAGTGTCCTCCAACGACTATCTTCCCGTTTGGCCATACGACAGCTTCCTTACTGAAGTTACCCATTTCTCTCGCAATTAATTTCTCCCTAAAAATGTAATCATAAAACTTGCCACATCTGAAGTGATATTCATGTTCTTACAATTGAAGTCTAAGGCAGATTTTTATTTGGAGCGCCCTGTGGTGTCAAGTGCGTCTCAGCGTGTTGGCAAATGACGTCTGAAAACTTATTCTTTGAGCGCAGCAGACGACACAAACGAGTCCACCCAGCTCACGTCATCGATCCATCGTTCGCTTTGATTCGCTATTAGCTCACGCTAGCTGGAATGTCCGAATAGGCCTCGGTGTTACTGCAATTACGGCATCCGGCTGTTAACCAGGAAGTCCCGCCACGAATCCTGGCCATGGTGGTCGCATTTTCATAGAGGTGAAGTGTTTGATTCCCGTGTGTTGTGTGATGTCAGTACATGATAGAGAACGCAAATGGTCAAAATTTCCGCAGCTCTCCTCTACGGTATGCCTTTCATTATTATCCTAATTGTGGCTTGTAAAACAGATAGAAGAGCATATATATTTTATTATTATTATTTAATCGATTATTGAAATAATAATTTATTCATTCTGCCCAGGAACAACCACATGGCCTTTGTGCAGGTGCATGCAAAAAAAAATAAAAGAGCCAAAACCCAAAGACAAAAGAAAATCAGTGCAGAACAAAAATAAGAAAAGACAAGATGAGAATCACAGAACGGCAGTAAAAAATAAAGGGAAATATACATAACTATATGAAAGGCTTCCTGGAAAACGAAAAAAAGGAATTATTTGTACAATTTGAAAAACTATCTCAAGAAAGCGCAAAGCTGAAATAAAAACGTTGACAGTGGACTGTGGAAGCGGCAAGATCATTAAAGTTAACTATATATAGATTTTGTATTCCGTGAGCTGTAGAGTGTTGAAAGGAGGTGGCAGGTACATAGAATGGTCGATTCTCTCTGGCTAACCTACGCAGAATCCGAAAACTTGCAAAACTGAGAAGCAAAGGGCAGGGTATTATACCGGGAACTAGTTTGTAAAAAATAACAGCTCAGCGCGGTTTAGTTGGCAGTGAAGTGATGGCGATTATGAAATTGCGGCAGTGTTAGAAGGAGATCAACAGTAATTTCTTGCAGAACCATGGTTTAAATGTTCATGATTTTTTTAAGCTCGCTCAGTGGCATCACTGCCAGCTTTAGCGATGTCATTCCAAATCACAGATGCATACTCAAGTTGATGAAGACGTAAAGCGGTGTAAAATATCTGGAAGACTGTAGGAGAACTGAATTCTCGAGAGATTCTGCAAGCACAGCAGACAGAATGAAGGCCTCATGTGCACAGTACGTTTGGTGTGAGAAGAAAAATTGAGCATGCTTTCAAAAACAACACCAAAATCAGTGGATTCGTGAACGTTACATAATGACACGGTATTGACCAAGTATAGAAAAGACACGATGAATGTTTTGTGAGATATACTAATGAACTTGGTCCTTGAGGTATTCAGGGAAAGGCTATTGTTGTCACACCACTCAGAGAAAGAAAGCAAATCTGATTGCAGCAAGCGACAGTCGTTAACTAAATGAATTTCCATTAATCAATTGATGTCATTGGCATAGAGCAGAAGAATCATGAATTGCAAAAGAAACGTCGTTAACGTACATTAAAAAGAAGAGTGGGCCTAACACCGACCTTTGAGGGTCTCCTCTAGCCTCTTTTTACAAGGAAGACATTTGGCTATTAACAGCAACCTAGCGTGATCTATTCTGCAGATAGCTGTACAGGTGATTCACAACAGGCGAGTCAAGATCAAAATTAGCAAGTTTAAACAAAAACATTGAATGGGTGATTACGTCAGAAACCTTGCTCAGGTCACAGTAGACTACGTCAATTTGTCCTGTTCGTTCTCTCTGTTGCTTGCAGGATAAGTTTTGCCAGCCACACCAGCGCTGCGAGAGTGGCTTAATACCGGTACCTACCTGTGAGTACTCCGCTATTTCTTGTCGATTTGTTCTTCCACACTAGGGCCATCGGTATTACGTAACATGCACAACGCTAATCCACAATATGGCAATATTGTTTCGTTAAGTGATCATATTTGTTACTCGGAAAAGTGTGGGCACCATTCTGAGGCATTGCTAGAAGACCATTCTAAGTTGCTTGACACGCAGTGTCAGCGCCCTGCACAAATCGCAGACAAAAAAAAGGTACGGATATATTCTTTACTCGGATTTTGAAGTTTTCTACAAGTAAACCATGCACTGCGATGAATGTTATCACAACTACCATACACAGTTGAGTAAGTTTGCGATCTATGCACCATGCACGCAGCCTAAATAACTGAAACTGCTATCGTTGTCGCTGAAGAGCAATTCGTTCAGCGTTGTTTATGTGCACCACGTGTGACTGATAGGGCTGCTGCTAGTACGCTGTTGTCAGTTTCTGTCACCCCGTGACGTCAGGCTGTGCTTACACGTCAGGACGAAACCACCGCTTCGGTATCAAAATCAAAAATTGCTTTCTAGCACAGTGGTACCGGATAAATGCAACGCATTCCCAGGAACCACGATACTCTTTTTATGGTTCTTGACACCAGCGTTTGCATGAAGCGCAATAATGCTAACATGCTTTGAATACCGGTCAGCACTCTTTGTGGTGACAGGTATTCGCCTTTATTACAAAATGTGAGGTGTATTTTACCGCTTCTTGATCGATTGTACAAACGCCGCACCTCAGTTTCATTTATCGCAAAGAGGGGCTTCAACGTTTCGAACTTGTTACTATGCAGCATATTGCGGGGATACTTTCCTGTACTGCTGGACGATTTTTTTTTCGCTGCATACCCTAAATGTACACAACAAAGCAAATTCTTGAACGTGTTTACTGCTTTCGAAATCCATTCAAGCGCTTCGATTATTAGTTGTCAGCACCGTGTTCCCGTATGCATTACATTTTCGCTAATTATTAGTTCGGCGTATCCAGATAAGAGTGAACACGTGGTTCTGGTCACTATTCTCGATTTCGATAAAAGTTACTCTTGGCGCAGATTTTAGGCCGAGTACCTTGACTTACAAGGTTGTAAGCGCAAAACAGACATTTTTTGCATCTAAGAATTGTTAAATTTTCGCTCGCAAAACCTCTGCCCGGCAAAGACCGCAATTTCTGAAGTTCGACTGGACCGATAACAGAAGAGCAGCGTGCATCCTAGTTGCCATACTTGTTACCATCAGAGAACAAGGAAAATCCATTGGTATGAGCTTTCTATTGTCTTTGCTGTCAAAAGACTTTTAAAGTGGGGGGAAACAAACAGTTAAATAGCACTAAATGCCTATATTTCATGAATTTAAAGCAGGAGACATTTCATACAGAGGATAATAAAATCTTGGAGAACTTGGAAAAAAAATTTGAACAGAAGCATGCGATAGCGTGATTGGGTCACGTGCGCATTGACTTGAGCCATGTGGCAAGAAAAGGAACTTCTGAGCACATAACACTGCTGGCTTCAAAATATTCTATAATTTCCACTGTAAGTTTCGTTGCTAAGCACACACCAAGCCCTATTTTTTCTTTTACAAATTTGTGGGCTACCCATCGCGCATCCATAAGTTGTCACGCGCACCTGAGCAGCTGGATACTTGTAAAGGGTTGGCAGTTTTAGGCCACCCACTCACGTTCTCACGTTTTCACGTGTCTGTATAATAAAACTGACTGTGGTTTAACGCCCGAAAACCACGACACGATTGTGAGAGACGCCGTAGTGGAAGAATCCAAAAACTTCGAACACCTCGATTTCTTTAACGTACTCCTAAATCTAAGTAATGAACCTCAACTATTTTCGCCTCCATCAAAAGTACGGCGGCCATGGCTGGGAATCGTTACCATAAACTGCCGGTCATCCGTCGAGTATACCATAAACCCAAGACCCCGTGACGGGCTGTTTTGAGGCCTGGATTGACTGTTAAGATTTTTTCCAGGCAATTTAACATGCGTTAAGATGATCTTTTCAAGTACGTGAGACTTTTTATAAGCGTTTTGTAGAGTAAGCTACACTGGCAGACGTTGAGCAGTTTCGCATGGCATATCGAGAGCCATGCGGTGCATGCCCAAGGAGCACTGACATCACATGGTGAATCATATGACAGACAGACAGACAGACAGACAGACAGACAGACAGACAGACAGACAGACAGACAGACAGACAGACAGACAGACAGACAGACAGACAGACAGACAGACAGACAGACAGATAGATAGATAGATAGATAGATAGATAGATAGATAGATAGATAGATAGACAGACAGACAGACAGACAGACAGACAGACAGACAGACAGACAGACAGACAGAGAGACAGACAGACAGAAAAAAATATTGTCTTTAAAAGTATCTGGCATGGAACGTGGTTTGAACGTGGGTCCACTCCGTGGGTGCCCTTTATTTTACCACAGAGGAATTGGGGTGCTCGATACTCCACTACTAATATTCAATTCCTGTAGTTAAGAAACCACGTCGGCATATATAACACAACGTAGTAGAAGAAGCGGATAACATGCAGGCGACACACAATGTGAATTGCCTTACGAGTGGGTCGTTCAACGCTTCCAATCCTTAATGAAATGCTGCTATAGCTCTTCATCGTCATCAGCCACAACCAACATGACAATGACCAGGCTTTCATTGGCAGCCCTTGTTGTAACTGCACGCGGAAAACGATAACACACCACAACCAACATGCTTTTGACACCATCCACACCATGTTTTTGGCGCCAACAATTCCATAACTTATGTTATGTTGGCCGTAAGCATTACGGTATCATGTACATTTTGGTAAATATGAACTGCCTTCTGCCTTACTTTGCAGGTTACTGAAAGGAGCTTTCCAGCAATAAAGGACTCACGGGACGACCACCAGCTTGATATGTTTAGCTTGATTTTAAAGTGAACGTTTTTTTACGCAAGGAAAATTTATTATTCTACCGTTAAGTGAGGCTTGGTACAGAAAACACGTGAACACAAGCCTCGAGGCTCCGCTCCAGACTATCAAATGCACTGAAGAAGAGGCGACCAGGCATGACCTGATACCCGTCTGTCCTTGTAAAACCGTTGTTGTTTCGAATAAAGTTGTTTACTACCAAGAGTTCGCAACAAATCTTTATAAAAAAGTAAATGACGGCTTAAATATAGTGGTGCCTGAACGAAGACCGGCACAGGGGGGCCTTGCTTGTTTGTCTTTATATTTAGTGTAAAAGCTGTATATGGTACAGAAGAAACAAAAAAGCGAGGAACAATGCGTCAGCCAGCCTTCTGTTTTGCTGCACGATAAAGAGTTTGTTTTTCTAGATTATGTTCCGAGATAATCTGTCTTCTTTTACCATGTGTTCTCAATGTGCCACTGATGTACTATTTTGCCTGCACACGCATGCGTTGTGGTTTTCAGTTGCCTGTATATATATTCTGCCCTTTTTAATAAACAGCTTAGTTGCGAGAAAGCGCTTGTCCTCTCTTCATGTCTGTTTTTCGTGCGCTTTAATTGATAGTTATACCAAACAAAAAGCTGCTCTTCATTAGTGTCACGAGCAGTCTCCATTGGCTGTGCTATCAGTTAAGTTCTCAGCGTCATGCCCAAACACCGTGCCATCAGCAGCGTTGTGAGCGACGTAGTTCATCCTGCCGTAGCCATGACGCTGAGCGCGTGCACATCAGTTTCAGCTGAGAGCATCCCCATGGGTTAGCCACGAGCAACTCTAGAAGAGCGCAGACAGTGGAAACGTGAGAGAGTTCGCATTAGCCGGCCAGATCGTACAGTGTCCGGGCACAAAAACAGGACCGGGAGGCCGAGTGCCGGCAGCAACTGCATACCGATGATACGGCAGCTTTCCAAGCCGCATTAAACCACGAGCAGGAATGGAAGCGCCCGTGGCTAGTGTAGGCTTTTCTTTGTTTGTTTGTTGCCTGTATGTACTGGGACATACCCACTCTGGGGGATTGGCCATGAAATCTTGTAGTAGCCTTTATGTGATACACCGATTGAGAGCCAATATAACAAAAATATTGAAATAATAAAAATATTTATTTAATGATAATAATAATAAACTAAAGAATTTAAATAAAGGTGATTCATTAAGAGAAAAGCAGAGCTAATACTATATAAGAAGGCTGAACTTTTGAGTAGACCAGACAGTTGAGTTTATCTCACTCGGTCAAAATCGAATGAACGTGCGACTTTCATTCACATTATCACAAGTATTCGTCACAAATTTATTTAAGCAGGTATTATAATGACATGCGCTTAGATTCTTGAAAGAAATGGCATACGGCATCGAAAACGTTCCTGTGGCAATGTGCCAAGCCAGAGGCACCGAAACTAAGAACATTATTTACAGTTAAATTTAAGGCTACTGTGGAAAACTGCACAGCTAGAAGTTTTTTCCGAATTAATGAATAGTTTCTACATGATATAAAGTAATGCTCTATTGTTTCTGTTCACTATGACATATTTCGTTCTTCTTCAGAGAAGCGATGTACTCACTACACGCTTGCAAGGAATTCTGGACAATTTTTGAATGTTGTGGCTGACGATGCTGAAGAATTATGCCTTGAAGCTTTTGCGATTGGTTTGAGAATTCGACGACCCACTCATCACATTGTGTGAATTCACAGAGTGTGCCGTCTAGTTATTCATTCGCGGCTTTAAAATGCTTTAATACTCATAGTAACACGATTCCTTTTCCGACAAGGAGCCTGCTTACAGTCAGTTTGCAATAGAGTTCCAATGACCTGCGTGGCTCAGTGGTACAATACTAGCCTGGCAACGCAGTGGATCTGTGTTGGAATCCCATTACGTTCTTGGAGTTTTTTTATTTGCCGAGTTGTTTTTATTATTTCAAGCGAACCGTTGTTACGGACAGTGGTGGCGGCGACGGACAACTACGGCTCAAAATTGACTGTTATGATCTCATAGCAACGTTTGCTGTAACAGCTTGCTTAACGCAGGCGTTAGCGATGAGACAATGCAGATACATTAAAAATGAAAGTATTTTATTGTACCCTTTAATGAACGTCGAAATCACGCAAAATTGGAAGAAGATAATGAAATCATCAGCGATAAGCCCGACTCAGTAGAAAACATGTACCCAAATTTCATCAGAGCTGGTTTCTACACATTTTAACAACTGTAAATGGGAGATTGAATAGTGTGCGCGCCCTTGTTACGTGAAACGAAACTCGAAAGATGGTGCCTGGCCACAACTACTGCGCGAGCTGAGCCGGCCGGAGGCTGGAGCTGTAATGTGACACCAAAGTGAACTCCCTGTGGCGAGCGCGAGCGTGCGATTGTGCGCGGGTGCCGAGAGCAGGCAGATGAGGGACGGCTGTGCACCTGAAGACACGCCGTATTCTCATCTCTCCAAAAGTTTTCTTTACCTTAAATAAACGTGGTTTTGTTAAAGTAACCATTGTTTGTTCGCCGGTCTTTTCCCTCCCGTCACCCGAATCATCATCATCGTTTTGCATCTAACAATAGTATTCACTAATTATTATAATTCACTAATTTGATAATTTGTCTCGTTTTGACAGCTTCTTGAGCACTTAATTTCATACCAAATCTAAGATATGCATGCAAAACATCAAAAGAGATAAATTTCACCTTTACAAATCATTGTTTCGGGAGATACGTAAGCGTACACAAGGACCGCGGTGATGGTGGATTCATTGAGCTGTGCAAAAGCGAGATACGTCAGTGCAAGTCGACTCACAGTTGCTGCACCTTCTTTACTTTCTTTTCGGCAACTGTAATTCGAACCAGGCTCTTGAGGAGTGCGTCCTTGTCGAGGCTGTCAATTTCGTCATGCTGCACGCGTGGTGTGTTATTGTGCCTATGCGAGCCATTGCCGAAATCTTGGCCGCCATGTTGATGTGGCGGCCGATTGTTTAAATGACACGGTTTGTCAGATATATCAGCCAAATTACAACTTCCCGTGGCCCCGTCATGGTGGTCTAGTAGCTAAGGTACTCGGCTGCTGACCAGCAGGTTGCGGGTTCAGATCCCGGCGGCGGCGGCTGCATTTCCGGTGGAAGCGGAAACGTTGCAGGCCTGTGTGCTCAAATTTGGGTGCACGTTAAAGAACCCCAGGCTGTCGGAATTTCCGGAGCCCTCCACTACGGCGTCTCTCATAATCATACGGTGGTTTTGGGACTTTAAATCCCTCATATAAATCATCAACAACTTCCAATGAAGTGCAAAAAAGCACACCGCTAACATGTGGCAAAACATTTGGTCTCGGACCATTTCTTTATTCTTTTGTAGGGCACGTGGCCTGGTTTTTCAGTCGCTTAAGTGGTGAAACGAGTGTATTTCTTGTGAGCTTTGTCATTTCCGCCCTTTTTGAGGCCAAGTGTCAAGGCACTTTAAGTTTAAGTGCAGGTGCCGAGAGGATCCAGCTGTTTGTGCCGCCGAAGTAGAAACTCATCACCTCCACAGAGACTCTTATGCATGCTTGTCTCTCAGAATATTTGCTTCATACATTGCAAACAGAATACTAATTGATTGATTGATATGCGGGGTTTAACGTCTCAAAACCCATATATGATTATGAGAGACGCCGTAGTGGAAGGCTCCGGAAATTTCGACCCCCTGGGGTTCTTCAGCGTGCGCCCAAATCTGAGTACACGGGCCTACAGCATTCCCGCCTCCATGGGAAATGCAGCCACCGCTGCCGGGATTCGATTACGCGACCTGCGGGTCGTCAGCCGAGTACCTTAGCCACTAGACCACCACAGCGGAGCCGCAAACAGAATACTGCGTACTTAGTTTTCATACAGTATAGAAATCATTCGAACGTGTTGGTGAGGGTGTTAAAGGAATACTAGATGAATGGATGGAAAAATTTTATTGGGGTCCTGAAGGATTCCACCCCCGTTTTATAGGAATAGGATCGCGGGCCGCTCCCACGTAGGGACGGGGAGGCCCAGCCTCACCGCCGCATCGTGGGCCTTCTGGACAGCCTTGAGTTGTTGTATGAGAACCGGACTCGTGAGCATTAAATGAAACGAGTTCTCAGAAAATTCTTCATTTTTTTTTTGTAAAGAGGGGCACCTCCAGAGCATGTGGTTCAAATAACTGTGATTCTGGCTACTAGAGAAAACGGAAAATCTTGCGGCCACGCTGATTATTAATTCTCAGTGCGGGATTACTTGACAAAAAAAGTCACTTATCGAACTTTTCGGTAGGTGGTGTTATATTCAACATTTTTGGTAGCGTGTGCCAAGCCACTCGGCTAACGTGAGTTGGAAGCCATGACGACATGACACCCCCATTCGACAGTCGACTGGCCCTCACATTTGGGAGCACTCACGCCGTCGCATAGCTGAACGTTATTCATTCATGCTGTGGTCCCACTACGAGCGAGAAGTTCACCTCTTATGACGGAGACCATTCCAAAACGGTGAAAAATAATTGTTACAACTTACAAGCCACTTTTGCCAGGCGACTGAGAGGATCAAATGGCCCCTTACTTTCAAGACAGGCATTCCTAGCCTGAACAAAGTACACCACGCAGTGACAGCAGTACATTATTTACTGTTACGGAGGATGTAAAATACATTATTTAATCAACTTCGTTGAGGTAGGAAGACAGTTATCACGCTTAAATCAAAGCAACGTATTTCATCGCTTTGTATTTACCTATGCGGTAGGCGTTCGACAACTTCGACGGGTAACTACATGCGTGGAATTTTTTAGTATTAGCTGTGTGCATGCGGCTGCTACTGTCACATCGATCCACCTGTCAAATATTTACAGGTTCGAAATTTGTTCGTACTACAATAAAACTTACTGTTCCTTAGCGCACATGCCTTGGCAATGCCCCGCTTTACTTAATGGTCCTCTATCCAGTGAACCCGACTAAAAAAAGGCCTTCCGGAGCTCATTCTAGTTCTGAATATACCAAATTTGGTATTACGTGACGTGAATGAACGACTAAGGTAAATGACACGTTTAAACATAATAATACAGACTTTGCAGTCATGTACGGCATAAATCACGTCTGCCTATCAAGGTTGTGCTGAATTTAAGTGACATATAAACGTTCCTCGTTCGTGCTTAGCATATCATCGATTCTCCCTGTACGTGGGATCTGC